CCCCGTGCAGAGTCCCGCGCGGACCTCCCCCCCACCGGTTGGTTAATTGCAGGCCTGGGGGTTTGGGAGCGGAAGTCCCCTGAAACTCCGGGTGAACTCTAAATCCCACCCCAGCGGCCCCCACCTACGGTTTGTAGGCAAACGGAGGTAGCTCGGTGGCGTGGGAAGAGGGCTCGCTTTGCAGCCCTGAGTGCCCCCCGCACTGGCTGTGTGAACTCAGCCCCTGTGGCCGCCCTGGGCTCAGTAAAGCAAGCTCCCCTGCTTTCCTCGGGAGTTAGAGTGAAGAGCAATGGCGTGCCCTTGATGGACTATAAAGCAACTTACAAAGATGACCGCCGCTGCAAAATGTGTCCCAGTGGTTTCGAATGGGTGCTGCAAGCGTGGAGGTCTGCAGCTGCCTCAATGGGCTGTAACTGGCAAAGTGACTTTCAGCCAAGCATTGTCAGATGCCGCCAGTGCCACTCCTGCCAGAGTTCCACAGACTCACCGCAGCGGGAGAATGACCCGGGGCTCTTGTTAAAACCACGGGCATCTGGATCTCTCTTCAAACCAAAGGAATCAGACTCCCCAGGGCAGGGGTGTCTCAAGTGACCTGCAGGCCAATGTCATAACTGGCCTGTGGTGGCAGATTTCTCTGGGAAACCAGACTATAAACTCTCTGAAGACTGGAACTATCTTTTCCTTCAGCTCCCGGGTTTCCACCCCCAACACCTAGGACAGGATGGTGCTCAGAAAGCAGATATTAATAAACTAACCCCAAGTAGAGGTGCCAGATTTAGCAAATAAAAACACCAGAGGTGCAAATAAAGTTGAGTTTCAGATGAGCCACGAATAGGCCTAACTATAGAGGACATGTCAGCAGCAACGTAACTTGTTTTTTCAAATATTTTCCATCTGCTGTTGATTGAATCTGAGGGTGGGGAACCTGTGGATACCGAAGGCTGACTGTATACAGTGTCTACTACATTTTAATGCATTTATCCATCAATGGACACTTGGGTTGCATCTACCTTGTTCTGACCCGGTAAGAGAACCTTCTGTGGAGTTGAGAAGCAAACCAAGGCTAGAAGAAATTAAGCAAAATGGATGATAATTGAGGTTTAAAAGAGGAAACCAATTTGTGCCTTGGTATTGTATTTCTTTAAAAGCAAAAAAATAAAAATGAGTATGTAAATGTGGGTAATTAATGGTCAGTCACTCTTTATACCATCACGTTAATCTTAAGTCATTAATCAGGTGCCTGCCCTGGGCATGTTTTTTCCTCTGTCCTTCTCAGTTAGTGGGGCCTGGATATCCCAGCAGGACCTCCTGTCCCCACAGCAGCCCTGAGCACTTGGTAGCCACCCTCCAGGCTGCAGGACTGGTGCGTAGGGATTAACTAGGCCAACTCTTCTCTGTAAATTCCACCATGACTCAGTCATAGAAATTATAGGCATTCAACCGAGGCACAAAGCCTTGTTAAGACCTTATTGATAAAGACGTAAAGACAAAGAAGCGAATTTCTAATTATGAAATTTCAGGCACAGGCAAGAATGGGGAGCTATTTGGAATGATTCAAAGGCCTTCCCAACCCTCACCACCTGGCTCAGGCTCTCGTCTGCTCCACCTATGAGGATATAGGTCCTGGTTTATGGTAATTCACAGCAGTCAACGTTGAACTAGCATTTGACCAGCATCCACTTTACACACAGCATAAAACTGAATGCTGGGGGAGATCATTTTTTCAAGTGAAGAAAAAAAAAAAAAAGACTTTTCCTGCAGGAAGTTGTAGTCTAGCTGGGGATTCACCAAATATACACAAAACAACTAGCAAATCATATACACATTTCCAATAATATAGTTCAAACTACCTATAAATACTAAATTACATTCACATCAGTAGCCTAAGCTATAGAGCACAGTTCAATGTCACTTCCTCCAAGAAGCCTACGTTAACCACCCTGGCAAAAGTAACCCCTGCCCAGGCACTTCTTTATTCCATTCCATTGTTCATTTATACTTTTCTATAGCATTACCACTCTCTGGACTTCTCTTATTTGTTTGTATATTTATTATCTATCTAAGCATTATTCAATCTACTTCTAAGATATAATACATTATAAAATAAAAGCTAATGATTCACAACCAGACTTACTTTTATAAACAAAAAGTAGAGTAGAGGAAACTAGAGAATAGAATAGAATAGAATAGAATAGAATAGAAAATATGAGAACACATCACTGGAGTTTTAGTAAGAATTATGAATGGAAATACTGAATCCAATTGCTGTACATGGAATTAAGAGAGTTAAAGGCTATGATGAATATCAGTCGACTAATGCAAGTCATTCTATCTTCTGCTAACAAGCATCTCATTTGATTTTCTGATGTGTGATGTGAATATGACCATCACCATTACAGGACAATTAACAGAGTCTATCTTTTATATTAACATTATGCAGTCTTTATTGTAAAGCTTTTTTCTAAAAGGACCTTATCAAATTGGATATGTTTAGGTTTGCATAAAAAATACATCTAATTTCATTAACATGAATTTTTCTTTAATGAGGTTTCTCCTTACTATTAGAAAAGAAGGATGAAGTAAAAGTTAGAGAAGTGCCCAAGTTCAAGCTCCATATATTTAGAAATAGAGACAATGCGGAGAAAAATATTGACACTAAGAGTAAGCTTCAACTTCATTTAGAATGAGGCACATTCTAAAAACAAAAGAGAATGCAGGAATTCATAAGGCATATTATCTAAAATATATTTTATGTGTATAAAATCTAACCAAAATGACGAACTCCAATATATTGTTTGTAATGGCACCTTCAAAACTAATAGGACACTTAAAACCACAGCATGTTGGACTTGTCAACAAACTTTTCTCAACGAAAACAAAGGTCCAAAAATCATTGGCACAATTTCTTATTTGCTCTACAAAACTTTAATGAGATTTAGTTGCACGTGGTCCCGCAAAAGGGAAAATGGCTCACATGGATCTTGAAAAATTACTTTTCTAATATGAGAAGATATGCATATAATTTTTAAGGCTAAAACAGCTGATACATTCAAATTTACAACGAGTCCTAGTCAAATCTGCACAGCTGCAGAACCTGCCAAAGCCATGCTTCTCATGTGGTTAAAATCCAGTAGAAAGCCTGAGATCCATCCCCCACAAAGCATGGTTGCTGTAAGTTATTCAACAATTCTAGTTTACCCAAGATGACAAGGGGTATGTCTTGTGTGTGTGTTTACCTTGGCACGCACTTGATCAGATATATTTACAAAACTAGAAAAAAAAATCCCTCATTGGTGAATACATATTAAACTGGAAAACATAAAAAAGGAACGCTAAGTACTGGAGCCAGCAGATATGGCTAGAAAACACAGCAAAGCTATTAAAATATTGTTAAAAGTGACTGACAACACTTGGGCTTAGAAATCAGCATCCATAAGAATTCTAAGTAGCATCTCTAGAAATAACTCTGCTGTATCTCATGGAAGTGTTTAAGAAGAACATGGTGAAGGTTGTTAAATTTATTGAAGAGGGCTCATTGAATAGCCAGAATAGTGATGTGTTTTGTTTAGATTGGAACTAACCAGTGCCTCCTGCTGAACACACTGAAGAGCATGGATTGTCCTGAGGACTCCATAAGAATTCTAAGTAGCATCTCTAGAAATAACTCTGCTGTATCTCATGGAAGTGTTTAAGAAGAACATGGTGAAGGTTGTTAAATTTATTGAAGAGGGCTCATTGAATAGCCAGAATAGTGATGTGTTTTGTTTAGATTGGAACTAACCAGTGCCTCCTGCTGAACACACTGAAGAGCATGGATTGTCCCGAGGAACTTGCAGCGGTTCTCAACCTGTGGGTCATGAACAATGAAAATACATCCTGCATATCAGATATTTACATTATGATTCATAACAGTAGCAAAATTACAGTTATGAAGTAGCAACGAAAATAATTTTATGGTTGGGGGTCACTACAACATGAGGAACTGTATTAAAGGGTCATGGCATTAGGAAGGTTGAGAACCTTAAGTTTAAGGGAAAGTATTGAGCAAAGTGTGTAAACTCAGAAATGACTATCACATTTTTCTAGCAACCTCTTTCAGCAAACAATCTCATTTTCATATATCTATTTTCATATATATATGTACACACACACACACACACACACATTTTTATTGATTTCAGAGAGGAAGTGTCAGGGAGAGAGATAGAAATATCAACGATGAAAGAGAATCATTGATTGGCTGCTTCCTGCATGCCCCACACTGTGATGGAGCCTACAACCCAGGTATGTGCCCTGACCGGGAATTGAACCGTGACCTCCTGGTTCATAGGTGTCATGATGCTCAACCACTGCACCACGCCAGCCGGGCTATACTCACTACTCTTTCTTCTACTATTCTGTCATATGCTATGAATATTGTTGTCAGACAAAAAATAGACGAAGCTGAGAATAAAAGTCTGTAGAATGTCTGGATTTATTTTAAACTCACAGTAGAGACAACATCTTGAAAGGCGAGACTTCCTTTTATTCTGAAAGCTGTCCATTTTGAGAAAGAACAAGACAAGTGTGGAACTGTTTTCTGATTTTTGGTGTGGAGCCCAGAACCCACCCATGAACCAAGGCCCAGGGGAAGTGGGTAATAGAAACCTACTATGAGGGCTGTGCTTTTCAAACTGTGCGTTGAAACCTACTTACTCTTGGGTCATAAAATTGATTTCGGGGAGGGTTAAAACCAGCATTAAAAGAAATGAAATAGAAAACACCAGAGTGCTTTGCAAGGAGTGACGGTAAGTGTTGTTTCATTTGCATTGATCATATCTATTCAGCCATGATGTAAAATGTGTTTCCTATTGTAGTCACAGTCAATGAAATCCGTACATCACCAGGGACACCACAGCAGAGAGCATGTGCGTCTCTCCTCTCAGAATGCCCCAGGGAGACGGACAGCTCCTGGGAGAATGTCACATCCAATGGCGTTGGAAGAACAGAGCAGCCATGGTCTAGGGTGGCCACACAGAGCTATCCTGGGTAAAGTTCAGAGACAAGGGCAAAGGTCATTTCTTTTTTTTTTTTTAAATATATTTTATTGATTTTTTACAGAGAGGAAGGGAGAGAGATAGAGAGTTAGAAACATCGATGAGAGAGAAACATCGATCAGCTGCCTCCTGCACATCTCCTACTGGGGATGTGCCCGCAACCCAGGTACATGCCCTTGACCGGAATCGAACCTGGGACCTTTCAGTCCGCAGGCCGACGCTCTATCCACCGAGCCAAACCGGTTCCGGCAAAGGTCATTTCTAACATGGTACACACTGGATACATAAAAATGTGTGAACACTGGATACATTTTCATTCAGGTGATCACTGACAAAATTGGCAGAAGAAAGGCGATGTCACACAATGCACCACTCATTGTGGTACTTGCAAGGTGGAGTATAAAGATGTGTGTGCCTGACCAATGCCCATCTTTTACTTCTGTCTCCCAGCACCACCTCCTTCCTGGAGCCCAGAACTCAGGAATCTAGGAAAAATGGGGCCGTGGGAAGGTCCCAGAGTGCCCAGCTCCTCCTCCTCAAACTCCATTGCTCAGCGGTGGCTGAGTTCTGTGCAGGTCCCTGTTCTCTGCTCACCACGCAGCTGATCCTGCTGTGTCCTCCACAGTCACTCCAGTTTTCAGTCCTAAGGGACTGTTCTCTAAAGGAACTCTCAAAGGGAGCATTCAGAAGGGAGGCAAGTGATCTTTGCTAAACAAGATTCTCAAAGTCTGACTTTTCCCAGGAAACAAGGACGGTCTGTCTCCTCCTGGCACGCGTTCCCCTCTCCCCGCCCTTCCCGTCCTGGTCAAAGGCATCTCTGAGAAGGAGGCCATGACATCACTTCCTTCACCCGGGTGAGGGGTAGACTTTGGCCACCTTCCCTCTGGGGAAGTGGGGCAGTGACCAGCGAGGGGCATTCCCTCGAGATCACCTTCCTTTCTCCTCTGGCTCCCTTTCCAAGGCCGGTCTCAAGTGAGCAATCTTCCCAGGCGCCCCTGTCTGCAGCTTGCTTCCCTCCGCTCCTTCAGAAGCCATGAGAAACTGCAGGGATGAGGAGGCTCCACGGGATGGCAGCACAAGACCTTGTTTGTTTCTGCAGGGGAGGAGCAGGGGACAAAAAGAGATCAGACCTTCCCCCCCTTCC